TATATATCTCACAGGATTGCTTAAGAAAGTCCTTTCAGCATCTTTCATATAATAATTACTCAAAAAACAATATACACATTATGATTAATGCCTTTCATAAGTAGGTGCCATTTATCATCCAAAGACATAGTTTTGACTCAGAGGCTGGATACATATAAAGATATAATGCAACTAAAAGCAATATTAATGAACAAGCAAAAGCTAAATGCCAGCTCAGGTGGGACAAGCACACCTAAACGTACACATACATAGACAGTCACAAATATAATTTTTCAAATTAATGCATACTTACTGTCAAGGATGCTTCATAATTGGAAATGGCAGTGGGATCACTCTCTTTACTGGCAGAGTGTCTGGGATCAGGCCTGAAATTATTAGATGCAGTCATCAGGTTGAGTTACTTACACAAAGCCAGTTATTCGCCATCTGCCATTTGGAGACGTGCCCTTAGGCCCTGCTTGGAAAGCAGCCCATTGCTATGCAGTAGGGGGAAATGTTTCTGTCCAAATAACTTATCTCTCAGTTTCAAATTCTAATGTGAGAAAAGACTGCAAATAGATGCTCTGTCTTAATGGTAAAAAGGACAATGGGCACCCATTGTCCTACTTTGGGGAAGAAACAAAGGATAGGACTTGCATTTTGAGGATTTTAAGATAGAGAGCTAAAGAATCAAATACTTAGGAAATTTTAACTGAACTCAAAGATAAATTTGGTAGAAATTTTTCCGAGTGGGAGGAATTCCTATGTCTCCACCCCAAGACAGGGGTCAGTAGGCAGTGGAGAGAATGCGGAGACTGAAAATTATCAGTGTTAAAATGATATGTGAAGCTGGGCGTGGTGGTGGTGCACGCCTGTAATCCCCACAGCTTGAGAGGCTGAGGCTGGAGGATAGCGAGTTCAAAGCCAGCCTCAGCAATTATCGAGGATATAAACAACCTAGTGAACCTCCGTGTCAAAATAAAAAATAAAAAGGACTGGGGACTTGGCCCAGTAGTCAAGTGATTCGGATTTTATCCTGGGTATCAAAAAAAAAAAAATATGTGAAGCAGGTGATGCACAAATCATATTTTCTGTGATCTAGTTGGAAGAATACAGATGCCAGTAGGTAGAGGTCTGGTGAACCCATGGGAGACTGAGGCAAACTCAGGGCCAGGCAACTCATGAAACAATATCATTTCCAGGCAGTGATAGAACCTGCAACGATCGATCAGAAAAGCTCATATTGTTATAGCATGTGTAAGAGAAGCCCATGTGGACTCTACGCTTAGGAATCGAATTCCCCAACAAGGCTCCTAAAGCACAAGAAGTAAAATCAAGAATCAAAAAATGGGATGGCATCAACTTCACAGCAAAGGAAACAATCAAGAGTGTGATGAGAGAGCCTACAGAATGGGAGAAAATCTTTGCCACTGTACCTAGAGCATTAATCTTCAGGATACATAAAGAACTCAAAAAACTTAACACCAAAAAAACAAATAACCCAATTAATGGTAAAAAGGACAATGGACACCCATTGTCCTACTTTGGGGCAGAAACAAAGGGTGGGTGAAGGAACTGAACAGGCACTTCACAGAATAAGAAATACAAGCAGTCAACAAGTATATGAAAAAATGTTCAACGTTTCTAGCAATTGGAGAAATTCAAAATAAAACTACATTGAGATTTCACTCCTGTCAGAATGGCAATTATCAAGAATACAAATAACAATAAATGTTGGTGAAGACATGGGGTAAAAGCTGCACACATACTTTGCTGGTGGTACTGAAAGTTGGTGCAACCACTCTGGAAATCAGTATGGAGATTCCTCAGAAAACTTGGAATGGAACCACCATTTGACCTAGTTACACTACTCTTTGGCATATATCCAAAGGACTTAAACATCCATGTTTATAGCAGCTTAATTCACAAATAGCTAAGCTATGGAATCAACCTAGATGCCCTTCAACAGATGAATGAATAAAGAAAATGTGGTATATGTACATAATGAAGTATTAGTCATAAAGAAGGAAATTATGGCATTTGTCACTAAATGGATGCAACTGGCGATTATTATGCTAAGTGAAATAAGTCAATCCCAAAAAACCAAAGGCCCAATGTTCTCTTTGATATGCAGATACTGACCCACAATAAGCAGGTGGGGGGCATGTAGGGGTGAATAGAAGTTCACCGGATTAGACAAAGGGGAATAAAGGGAAGGGAGAGGAGATGGGAATAGGAAAGACAGTTGAATGAATTGGACATCACTTTCCTATATTCTTATATGAATGCAGGACCAGTGTAACTCCACATCATCTACAACCACAAGAATGGGAAGTTATACTCTATGTAAGTATGGTACGTCAAAATATATCCTGTACAAGCTACTCGCTGTTCTTCTTGATCTTCCCACAGACTTCTGCTGTGTCTGAGCCCTGGGAGAGTGTGGCACACATGCTTACTGATCCACTAGTTGCCTGGTGAAGGGATATGGTTATGGTCACAAGGGAATGTAGGGAAGGACGAGGCTACCTGGATGGTGAAATTTGGAGGTTTTTGTAAAATCCAGAAGTCAAAGAGGAATCAGCAGAAATGAGATGTTGGAAGATTAGAGCAGGATGGAACTCACATCGGGACATTTATTGGTTTTGCTGCATGAGGGACCATCCCTCTCTACTCATAAGTGCACCTCCTTTCCCCCTCATTCCCAGCAGAGTGAGCCTGTGATGTGTGCCAGTGAATCACCATAGTCCCCATCCTGTTCTAGTGATCAGTTCAAATGAGGACCCATGTCACCCTCACTTGGGCTAGTGACACTTGGGCCCAGGTCTCAGCCCCTCAGGGGAAGCTTTCTCTCTTGGGCTCCTAGGATAGGAGGTAGAGTAGAGCTGTCAAAGGTCTTCTTGTCACCATGAAGTCAGAGCCTGCATAGAGGGGCATGGAGCTGGGGGTTGCAGAGAAATGTGGCCCCTAGATCCAGCCATAATCGAAACCAATCTAGCTCAGGTTTTTGCTTTTTCCATTTCTGCTTAAGCCAGCTCAGGTCGAATCTCCTATTCCTTATAAGTGAAAGAGATTTAAGAAGTAAGTATAGAGTCCAGTGATTTTTAAACCAGTCTCACAACAGAGTCCTCGACCTCCTTGAAACTTTTCCTTCCAGAGTGAGCCCCCAAACGGGTTGAGCCCCCATCTGCTCTTTGAATTTCCAGTCTCCATACTTCAACATGTTAGGTGTTTGGATTTGAACTCAAGATTCTTCAACTAAAACATTTTTTTTTTCCCCAAGTGCTACTTTATTCCAACCCTTTAAACAGCCATCAGGGAACTTGAGGTCAGAGGAGGCTGCTGACTTTCTCAACATGACACACACAGATCGTAGCAAAGGGAGGGTTAAAACCAAGGCCTCAAAAACCTCAGGCCCCTACTCTTCCTTCTTAAAGACACAGACAAACATTAAGACAGAACAAAATGCATATTGATGGCCAATAGTTTATGGAGCACAGAGTCAGACACATTCTAAAGTCTTCACGTATATTGTCCTATTTAAGTCTCTCCGGAGCTATATGACATGGACATCATTATCACCATGATTTTAAAGGATCTGAGACCTAGAGAGGTTAAATGAGCCTTTGGTTATGTAGCAAGTAAGGGCCAGTGGTGAGATTCTTCCCTAAAGCAAGTTTGTTGAGCACTTCCAAAGCCTATCTGAGTAGTAGTGGGAGTAAGTGAAAGGTCATTGCCCTGTTCTATGAGCTGCAGGCCCACCTGAGTCTGCCTGTAGCTGCAGGAGAGTTCCCAGCACACAGGAGGCTCCATGAGGGCACTGGTGTAACCTGGAGGTCATGACCCTGGGGCAACCCTCCACCAGTGGGGCACAGGAAAGGTAGATAATGTCCAGTCTCCGTGCTTCAGTGAGGTGATTCTGAGGTATCAGGGGAATTGAGCCTCCAGGACCCACAGTAATAGCCCCCTTATTATTGCACCCATATTGTCTTTTACTCTTCTCTCTCTCACATTCTCACTTCCTCAGTTTGACTCCCAGGATTCACCACTTAAATCAAGGACTTTTGCCCAAGTCTTTGTCTCAGGCCCTCTCTCTCTTCCTGTGTCT